TCTTCATTATTAATTTTTTTAAAGTCTTTATCACATCCATCTGCCCTAAAAGTTACATCTGCGAGACATTTTTTCAAATTTGCAAAACAAATAAAACTTGATTTGAGTTAGAAATGTATAATTAACTCATCTGCCATCACAATGTTCAGAAGTGACTTATTATCAAAAGTTAGCTCTTGTGCTGACGACACCATGCAGAGCAGTCACAACACCAGCGCTCATCTCCAGCGGTCGCCGAGTTTACAACACTTTCAACATCGCTGCACAAACAGAGGAACTAATCACCTGGTGGCTCTGAAAGAACCAAGTGAGTTGTAATTAAGGAGGATAAGAACAAACAGGTTCACCTGCGGCCTCGTGATCGTGTGAGATGCATCTAAATGATGGAGGGGAGGCTGATACAAGGCAGACATTTAACCACACAAACACTTAATTGCTCGGCTGTATACGAAGGAGACGGTGCGACTATTTTTAGAACGGCGCTCAGCAGACAAGACTCAGGAGGGCTATCAGGCAGCCTTACGGCTCAGAGTACGACAAGCTACAGTGGGAGTAGTTACAACAAGAAAACAGAGCGGATGGAGGAAAAGGTGACGAGGAAAGAAACACAAAGACTTTACACAGAGATTAAAAGAAAGCAAAAGTGTAAAGGAAGATGAACATAAACCACCCCGTTCAAAGAACAGCTGGACATTTCAAGAAATATGCTTATTTGTTTTCTAGTGGGGATCCAGATTATAAGATTAATTATGAAACCAGAGCCGGCTGCTGGTGAGCAGCTTGGCACCGAGTCCGCCAGAAGAGCCATTCAGTGGTAACAAAATCCATCTGCCAACACTTCCACAAATCACAAGAGTTTGCAGTTTTCATTTGCACAAGTAGCAAAAGCACTTGAAATAATCACAGCCTTGTATTCTGCTGCTGAAGGTTTATGAACTAAAATATTTGGATCAACTAAAAATATTAATTTCTCTGACAATGTAAAGGAAGAGTTAGTTTTTCTACTTCTATCGACAGGATTGGTCAAGAAAAGTGAAGAAGCTTCTTGATTGGCATGAACTTTTAAGTTTTGCACTGAAGACCAAAGAATATTAAAACATTCAGGAGTTTGACTGCATCATTTTCTGAAAAACAAACTTTTAGTACACATGTTTATGAGACATATATACACATATCTATCTATATATATATATATATATAGATAGATATGTATATATAGTAGTTTTATTAGTCGTAACCCAATGCATCAGTTAAAACAATGGACTTATAACGAACTAAAAATCAAAATCACTTGATAAACATGCCAAACATTTAATTATTTTAAAATGTGAATAATAAAAAAATAAAAATGTAATTTGAAGTTTTTTGAGAATGTTTTTAGATGGACTTTGCCCTTTAAAAAGGTGCCAGAAATTTTCTTTCAATAAAATAAAAATCTGCTGTAGTTTCAAATGATATAAAATGTAGTTTAAAAGTGTGACAATGGTAATTTCACCTAACTTCCTTTTGGAAAGCAAACGAGGCACACTTCTGCCGATGTGAAGCACTTTTATTCTTCCAAAGTGACCCATCTCGTTAAAACGTTTTATAAACCAGTGTGAACAGCCAACCCCCTCAGCAGATGATCTAATTGCTCCGAACCATCCTGAGTAGATTTGAACATTTGTAATTTGGTGGCCTGGCTGTACAAATGAGGAAAATGTTCATGTAAAGGAGCGCAAGCTGCTTTGAGGGTTGTCCGTCTCCATGGTAACGCTGCACGGTTGCAGGTGAGAGGAAAAGGAGGTCTGGCGAGGACAGCAGGGCTGTAAGCAAAGGGGCCGTCAAACAGTTTTAAATAAATACTACTTTCTATTTCTGTTCAGGTTTGTTTTCTTCATATCAACAAGATAAAAATAGGATGCAGTGCCTCGAAATGACCGGAATGGAAAACTGAACGAACGTGAGCAGCGAGGCCTCTTATCGTCTTTCATCTTTGGTACCGTTTCATTTCCAAAGATGGGAGTCAGGAGTTAATTTGGCATTGCTTCTGGCAGCTAGAAGGACCGTACTCAACAAATGAAAGGCGTTTAAAACACATCACCCATGTTTGTGTCATGTTCAGGCAGAACTGCAGCAGCGCACGTCTCTGTCCGGCGCCGCACGGCCGGCAGCGCATACTAAACACGCCTCACGCCCGACCAGTGCAGAGACACGAGGACCAGCAGGGAGGCGAGGACACGCCTGCTAAGACAAGTGGCCAGGCAGTGTTACTAAATGAGCTTCCTGCCCATCTTTAGGCGGTGATTTAACGTTTTAAATGCTCAGTGAGAAACCATCAACTTTGGCTTTGCAAAGTTTTTGTGCTATTTTTCATAAAAGGTTTGACTAAAACCATGATATCACCACACTTTGAGGATGTTTTCTTTTTAGTTGCTTAATTTAGTACAAAACAATTATTACAGACCTAACACAAAATTATAATTTATGAAAATTATAACCTTATGGCATTAAGAAACAAACAAAAAATAAATATAACTGTTGCAGTCAGTCACAATTGTTTTTTTTTTAAACAAGTAGAGAAAAAATATGTAGTTACTTCATTTTGAGGAAAAAAAGATGAAATCAGAAGAAAAACACTCAGGATTATTGTTGCACCACCTCTTTACTAACAGCTTGAACTGAGTTATCAACACAACTAACAAAAAACACAACTCCTCACCAGGGGCGATTCTAGGATCGGATCTTTAGGGGGGCTTAGCCCCCAGTACTGGCAATGGCTCTGGGCTTGAACAACGCGCCCATGGTGTGGTTTGTGAGAAGTGCAAAACTTACAGCTCCTAGCATTAGACCAGGTGGTCTCCCATCCAAGTACTAACCGACTCTGCTTAGCTTCTGAGATCGGGCGTGTTCAGGGTGGTTTGGTCGTAAATAAGAATCTCAGTCACAAACAGGACTTTTAAAGGATCATAGCAAAGTAAATTTATACAAGCAGGTTACAACAAATATCTACATACAAAGTACAAAACACACTAAACAAAGCACAACTACTGTAGTTTGAAGCATTAAATTTTAATTTAACCATTAAACATACAATGTAATTATGACAAAAATGGAGGATTTACCTGCAGTTACCTTCATTCAGATGAACATGTGGCACTTCCTGTTAATAGCGGTTGTATTCAGCTGATCATGATGTTGGCTGCTGGCCTTCATCCTTTCTTTACATTTTTCCAAACTCCGTTTAGGTTTTGAAAATGGCACAAACTGTATTCCACCTCTGAACTCAGAGGGTAGCGCTGTCTGAATTACATGTCCTCTGAAAAAGTTTAACAAATTCTTATCTGATGATTTTCCACAAAATCCCTCTCTGCAAAGCATCCATAACATGACAATGTTGTCAGAGGAAAAGGGGGTGGGGCTCCTGCAGGTAAGGGGCGTTTACCTTGGGGACAAATTGAGATAGCTGATTGGTCAGTAGCTTGCTGGATTGATTGACAGGTGATGTTGAGGATCTAACTTGTGCAAAATTATCAAAGATTTTACTGACTGTTTAAGAATGTCATCATTTATTCTATCTTCTTCTTCTTCTTCTTGTTTCAGCTTTTCCCTTGTCAGGCGTCTCCACAGAGAGTCCTCCTCCATCTCACTCTGTCCTCACTCCAACTACCTCCATGTCCTCTCTAACTGCATCCATATGTCTTCTCTTTGTCTTTTTCCTGGCAGCTGCATTTCTAACATCCTTCTACCAATATACCCACTGTCCCTCCTCTGGACATGTCCAAACCACTGTCCCTCCTCTGGACATGTCCAAACCACTGTCCCTCCTCTGGACATGTCCAAACCATCTCAGTGTGTCCTCTCTAACTTTATCTCCCAGTTGTTCAACATGTGCTGTACCTCTGATGATCTCATTCCTGATCTTCTCCATCCTTGTCTCTCCTAAGGAGAACCTCAACATCTTCATTTCTGCCACTTCCAGTTCTGTCTTCTGTCTTTTTGTCCATGTCTCTGTCTCCAGACCATACAACATAGCTGGTCTCACCACTGTCTTGTAAACTTTTCCTTTGATCTTTGCTGACACCCTTTAGTCTCAAATCACTCCTGAAACTTTTCTCCATCACTCCATCCTGCCTGGACTCTCTTCTTCTCCTCTTCACCACACTCCCCATGTTCCTGGACAGTGGACCCCAAGTCCTTGAAGTCCTGCACCTTTGTGACCTCTGCTCCTTGTAGCCTCACTGTTCCACCTCCTCCCTCTCATCCACACACATGGACTCTGTCTTACTACGGCTGACTTTCAGGATCTTTTTGTTTGCGTGTTGATGACGTTCGTTTGGCTTTCCTGGATGTAAATCTCGTTTCTTTCAGCCGATCATTTACAGTTCTGTCACATACACTCCAGTTTCTTGTTTCTCTTTTGTTTGCTGCGTCTTTTATTGTTTTCAAGACATTTGGCTTTAATTTTTCTATCCGGATGCTTTTGAGGTCCTTGGTGCACCAGTTTGCTTCCCTTTCACAACCTTTCCTTTTTGTTTAACAACCAATGTGTTTTGCAACTTTCCGTGACATTTACCTTCTTGTTTCATAATTCTCTTCTTGCAGCTGACGTCTCTCGTGGCGGAGCGGTGATTCAAGTCAATTCTCTCTGTGCAACAGCTCTCCAAGGTGTGAGCACTCTTATTTTTAAACTGACGACTATTTAGCAGATTTATATCTGGTTTTAGCGCCGTAAAATTCAGAGTGATTCCGTATTATTTTCCTCAAACTTCAGTGATTCCATATTTTTTCCTCTACTCGATCTAAGAATGTAAATGTGAATGACTGATGGCAACTGAAAGAACATCCTTTAAGAGTGGCGATTCCATGCTTTTTGCCAGGTGTTGTAAAATAACCACATCACTACACTGTTAATATCTTATTTCATGAGTGTAGACAGTGATGTCTGGTGTTAATGGACCCCAGTGATAACAGCCCCGCTCCGACACAGGGGTCTCTTACCAGCCATGACCGGGACTCACTTGGGAGTGAGGCGAGGGTCTCCATAGGGAGCATAGGGAGACATGTTTAAGAGAAACTCCTTGGGAGGGTAGGAGCTCCACCTCTGCTGCACGTTGCTGCTGTCGTTGTTATTCCAAAAGTCTCGGTCTAAATCGCTGCAGCCAGAAAGAGACAGCAAAACGTTGGACGTGTTAGAACAGCAAACGTTCACAGAGATATGAAGACGTCAAACAACAGAGGAGACAAGTATCAAGAAGTGCTAAGGACCAGGGAATAACTGTTGGTGGAAAATGGATAATAACAAGAAAGTAATAAAACTGGACTTTAATATCAAATGTTGCATGTTAAAAAAGTGACTGTTTTAAAGATCCAGTCATAAAGACCAGACAAACCAAAAAACAAGTTTATAAAATAGGGGAAAGTCCATACATTATGTTTTTCACATTAATTGTAATAAAAATTGTGACCAGACAGGAAACGGCTGAAGTGATTGAAAATACTTGTTGAGTCTAGGATGAAGAAACTAAATGGAGAAGATAGAAACTTTTTACTGAATAAACACGTTGGATTTAACCTGAGGAAAAAAACACAATTGAAAAATATGATGCAAACTACAAACATTCTCAAAAGGGAAAGTTGTGCTGTATGAGTTAGTTTTTCAAACATTATATGCTCATTTTGTTATGAATAACAGTAGCATGTTATTTTTTATGGGTAAAAAGTCAAAGAAACGCGTCAAAATGATATTTCTTAAAAGCTTCTTCACAAGTAAAGACTTAAAAGGATGGTTTGTGTTTCGTTGTGCAGGGAGCTCAAAGTTGAACTTTACAATCAGAACTAGTTTAACTCTCATCACTGATCAGTGCCTGACACCTACTTGATGGCTTTATTTTCTCCTCGACCTCTCACAGACTCTGGAGAGCCGGCAGCCTCCACCCCCGGCTTATTCCTCTTCCCCTGCAAAGACACGAGACAGAGACATGAGGGGGACAGATCGTTGACCTGCATCTTAACTGCTGAACCTAAATGGACTTTTGTAAGTGAAGTGTTCATTCTGCAGACTGTAGAACCACATCAGGTTCCAGCGTGTGTTGTAAAATACAGAAAACAAGGGAGGAGCTATAGATCTGGTTCGATGCCGGGACCAGACGGCTTTGTGGGATTAGAGAGACGAGGAAGTGATTTACTACACTGAAAGTGATGAAGCATACACAAACACATATTTACACACAAACAAAAGGAAAGCACGCACTGCTGCTCAGAATACCATTAAGCATGTGAGATAACAGTAAATGCACATCAGAGCACGAAACAGGAAACATTCATAAAAGTGTGAAGGGCCGACGAATCACATTAAATACATCTCAAGCTGTTCTTATATGCATGTGAGATGTTTTTTTTATTTATTTTAATTGTCAAATGAGTTTATTCATATAATCTTTAGACCAGCGGACTTAAATTAATATTCAGCAAAGTTTGCACTAGTAACTTTTTATCTGGCAATGGTCCAATGTATACATTTAAATTGTGTTTTAATACTCGCCGTGCAAGTTTTTCCTCTCATTTTGTTCATTCGTTCAACTTTATGTGGACAGTTAATCCCACTGAGCCTCGAGGGCTCATTTACACCTGATTTCAACAAAGAGTGATGTGAACATGACACAAGCACAGACCTGTCTGCGGGACGGAGAACACGGTGCTCATGAAGGAGAGTAAGTGAAGAGGAAAACTGAATTAAAGACATTCTAGAGACTTATTTTGCACGATTTGATATTTTCCCATCAAGATTCATTGGGGGGAAATGTTAGTGTAATACTTAGGAGAATAGACTGCAGTCACTTGAAACTTACTTTTGGTATTTTTGTAAAGCCTCTAAGAAATATAACTCACAATCCTTTTTATTTGGGGGAAATGGTTTCAGTTATTTTAACAAAGGCCTCTTGCTTTTTATAGTTGCAATAAAAAGAGACTTTTCCCGTTCCCTTCCTGCTCTCTCAGACTTTTGACTTTTGATTTTGTGTGAATCATTTTAAGAGCGTACAAAGATTTTCACAAAATATCAAATTATGACAAGAAAGTCCTAAGTTGGAGGTGGAGAGGGTGCAGGAAACAGGAGTCTTTGATCTCCACGGGGGATCTTTTTAATGGCTAAAAATGTTCCCTTTCTGTTTTTGAATTCTAAGAAATGCTTCAGTTACATCATCACACAGAGAGCTCCAGGTTGAATCTGCAACAAGAAATGCAGCTTAAATTTAATACACTTTCAAATGTTTCCTGCTAAATGATCTTACTGTTTGGATAAGTCATCAAACTATTGAAACAATTAGTATAAAGCCATGGAAATGATTGGAATAAAACTTTAATTAATGGCACAAGCAGAGACTTTGTGTAGCAAACTCAGTGAAGGTTGTATGTAATTTGGGTCACTTTCTGTTTTTCATTGATCAGAGTGAATGACACATATCTTGTGGTTTAATAATAGCAGGAGCAATTTGTCCATTTTGACCATAATTATGTGAGTGACAACAGCGAGCAATGATTTAATGAGCTGATATTATTCAAAGCGGGCACTCTTGTTGAAAACTGCCATTATTCTGCGCTCTATTATCCAACACAGGACTTTAGAAAAGAAAACACGTTCTCGTTGGACAGGAAATATTTCATGCTAACATCGTCCAAGTGCCTTCACTGCTAGCTAAGAAAGGCCCGGAAAATTAAATTCACACAGTCTATTTATCATGTTTTTTATTTTTATTTATGAAAACCTTTGTTTTAGTCACATAGTTTGATTGGGTTTTCAATACTCAATCAGCTGAGTTTCTCAAAAATATATAAACGTGGCCAAAAAAGTCCATGCTCAATAATCCAGGTATTCAATCCAACAATTTTCAGTCCGGTCCTCTGGACAGTTGGATTATTGAGAAACTGTCCAGAGGACCGGACTGAAAATTGTTGGATTTATAAATGTGGATTTTTTTTTTTAAAGTAACATATCTGAAATAAAGTTATAGTGTGGAGTGGTGGCACAGAGGTTAGAGAAGGTGGGCCTGTAACTGGAAGGTGCCGGTTCAACTCCCCAGACCGACAACATCAAAATGTGGGTGTTAAAGGTGAAGCACCCACACCTGCCTCCACCCTCATTTGCCCCACTCTGGGCCCTTGAGCAAGGCCCTTAATGCCCCCAGCTAGCAGCTCCCTGCTCCACAGAGGCTGTGGCAGCTCGGTGTCTGTGGTTGCATCAGGAAGAACATCAGGCGTAAAAATAATGATCAAGTCTTGGTGTGAGTTAGTTCGCTGTGGAGCCCCTGAAGAAGGAGCCGAAAGAAAAATAAATAAAGTTATAATGTATTCTCTGCCTAGAAGAATAGGTAAATATACTTTACTGCATGGTTGTTGTTGGGCTTTTTCCATGAACTTGTCAGATTTTGAGTTTTTGGCATTAGATTTATTTTATTGACAATTTGAAGGTACATGTGGACCCGTTCCTTCAGTCGAATAAAAACTGTACAGATTCACTAAACACTGAATACAGATATTCTGTATTTTTAGTTTCAGTTTTTTTGTCCCGTCTGTTTGAAGTATTATCCAAAATGGGCTACATTAACACCATTAGCCAGGATGTGCACTGAATGATCTTGCTGTGGGTGAGTATTTGAGCTCTGTGGAGGAGGACGACGACAGACTCCTCCTGCCACTGCTGGCGTTAATGAATTGATATTTAGTAGCACTAATGCTTCATCTGAATGGTTGTTTAAATGATGAGATATAATGGCATGGCTGTGCCCTCAGGTCAGATTTATCTGAACCTCCCAGGCTGCCTCCAATCAAAGTTCAAGCTCATTGATTCTTAATACGGTTAGTCTTATTTTACAGCAGGGTTCATTGGTTGAGGAATAAATCAAATAAAGTTTATTTAGTAATGACAATCAGACTGATGTGCTGTTAATTAAGCTTCCTCTCAGTTCTGTTCTCATATTAGGCAGCACGGTGACTCAGTGGTTAGCACTGTTGCCTCACAGCAACAAGGTCCTGGGTTCAATCCCCGGTTGGACCTGGGCTCTTTCTGTGTGGAGTTTGCATGTTCTTCTCGTGCTTGTGTGGGTTTTCTCCGGGTACTCCGGTTTCCTCCCACAGATCAAAAACGTGCATGTTAGAATGCCTTCAGTCCCTGGACTCCCTGGCAAAAGAGATCTCTCAGTGGGATTTGCCTGGTTAAATAAAGATTAATAAATAAATAAATACTCTTCTAATTAAAATATAATGAGTTTTTTTTAGGTGTTAACCCTTCAGGTAAATCACTCAGTTCCAATTTATACACAGGTAGTGTCTCTGTGACAGCAATGGGATTCCACTAAATGACAGTAGCATGTTGCCCTGGTGTCACAGTTTGATCATTTAAAACCATTTTAACTGAAGAGGAGCAGCACAATAGCAGGAGGGTAAAACACAACATGCCTGTCTCAACAAAAAGAAACCATCCAGAGGACCTGACTTGTTAACTTTGTTAGATTTTTCTACCTGGATTCTTGAGCATCAGGACATAACAGGCCTCTTGTTTTTTGTTTCGGGGGGAGCCTCCAGGATGGTTCTGCTGGTGTAACCTTTCATATTCACACCTGTGTGCATTTCACTTTCCAGCTGACCTTAACTGCATATCTGGGACTGTTAGGAGACTGAGGAGAGCATCAGGAAACATGTGATTTTAAAAAGTCCCAGCTGAGCTGACAGTGCTAACCAGGAAAAGCTGGTGCTGCCATGAAGTCTCAAAATGAGGTCAGTCTGACGTCAGGATCTGCAGAGCTGAATGGAATTGTGTGCATTGAATTATATATGAAAGTGGATACAGTCTCAAAGGAGCAGCTGTCACAGGTTTTTATTTATTTATTATTTTGGTAAAAAACAAAGAGTATATTGCAGTTTTTACCCACAAATCTGTTCTCAAATCTTTGGTGCAAACCTGAAGATAAAACTCAATAGTTATAATAATACACCATATTAAATTATATTATTAGAGTTTACCGTATATCTTAGATCCTCGTATACTCTCTTTTTTATACTTTATATTTTTGTTATTTTTGGGTGTAAGTGGACCTTGAATACATTACATAATGTATCACATGTGATGTGAATGATAACAAAGAACCTTGACGTTTGAATATTTTATTTAAAATTGTTTTTTAAAAAGTATAATGAAAAACTAAAAACTCTGGTTTTAGGTTTTTGTGTGGAACTAGTAAGTAAAGTTTATTTATAGAGCGCTTATCACAGACATAAAATCACAAAGCGCTGTACAATAAAAACCAGTGCTAAAATATACAAAGAATAAAACAAGCATAAGAACTACAAGAAGCACAATAAAATCATGACATAAAAGCCTGAGAGGATAAAAGTGTTTTCAGTTGATTTGTAATAACCTAAGAATTTTGTGGAGGTATTTTTGCAAACTTTATTTATTTTTTTAAGTTGTTTAAGTAACTTGAGAAACAGAAGCTCAAATAGTGATAACACCACAAGTTTCTCCTCTCTTCACTTTTAAAAGAAGAACAGAGATTCAAGGATTCAAGGTTCTTTATTTGTCGTACGCCGAGTGCCGTACGCCGAGTGCCGTACGCAGAGTGTCGTACACCGAGTGCCGTACGCCGAGTGCCGTACGCCGAGTGTCGTACGCAGAGTGTCGTACGCAGAGTGTCGTACGCCGAGTGTCGTACGCCGAGTGTCGTACGCCGAGTG